AATTACTGCTTCTATTTCACTGGGGATTATAGGTCTGTTGAAATGGCTAATATTATCTTGATTTAATTAATTTTTATTTTTCTCCAACATAATATTTTCATTATTTGGGAATTTCATACAATGTATGTCAATCATACGGACTTCCCATTCTTCCTTGTGTCCCATACACTTAAAAAACAAACCCTACCTAGTCCAAATTGTGTTGCCCACATACTCACCAGAGTATGAGCAAACACACAATGGCCAGTCCCTTAAAGAATACTAAGACCTTCCTAGCCCCAACCCTTGGTAAAAGCCACCAACTGTGAAGAACATTTTTATCACAATTTTACAGAACTCTCTATAATAGCTTTCTATTATATGTTCTGTACATGTTCTTTTAGGGGCTGGATGGAGAAGCTGTCACAGAAGCCTTCAATGTCTTCAGCTCTAAGCAGTAATCTTTTACTAAAATATTTTTGTACAATATATTTTGTTTTTTACGTCCCCAACTCATCTGGTATATTCTCCATATCCCATGTTCCTAAACTTGGTTTTCTCATTCTCTATATTTCTCAAACAACAAATAAACAAGAAAAAAGACAAAAAAAAAAAGCAAGAAACCAAACAAAATATAAAACTAAGTCACAAAAATATAAAACTAAATCAATAGCTTTGTACCTAGCATGCTCTTGAACTCTCCTAAGTCTGGAGCCAAGATGGAGGAGTACATGAGAGAGTCCTGCCCCTGGCTAATTGTGGATGACTGTAATGGTACATTTACCATGGGTAAAATAGGTGGTGATACACTTCCAGATATCAAGTTTCTGAAATTCTCCAGTGGGAGTAAACCAGAGGTAGCTTTATAGTTTGGGAAGGAGTTTTACCATGATTGACTGTCTGGAACTATCACCAGTGGTGACTCAATAGGAACTATCCTCTGAGCAAGAAAAGGACTGGTGGCCATGGTTGGCTCAGCTATGATGGGTGGCATTCTCCTAAGTTTAACTGAAGGAGGTGATACCTTGTCGACAAGATTTGTCTCTGTATGGTCACCAATACAGAATAACTTCCTGAAGACCACTTCCAGTTAACTTCAAGCCAGTTACCCATCCTCACCCTTTGAAGACTACTATCAGTAGGACTTCTTTCCTGTTACTGGATGGATTGTAGTTCAGGAATGTTTCAGAAAACCAAGGTATACTCTATATGGGAGAATGGTGGTCAAATAAGCCACAAAGAGACATTTAGCATACTTTTCTGTCTAAAAGGGATTGGGAGAGGGAGGAAGATGCTGGTTTACTGATTGATACGAGAGAAAAAAATGTCTAACATCCTTTCAAGAACATATACAGGCCTAGAAGATGAAGAAACAATGGGCAAATAGTAAAAAAAATGATCATTGTTTTCCTAGGTACTTTTCTGCCTGGTATTTTGTGCAATTATTCAAACAATAAAAATGTTCATGGACTTAATATTTCCTTCTAAAGTTATAGAGTTCTGCATCTTATACTAAGCATACTTCAGATAACGCATGTGTATATCAACATCTCATCTTACTTGAAATGAATTATATATGAGAATTATGCAATCAGCAAAATCATTTCTTAGAGAAAGGCTTTAAGGATCGAAAAATATGCCCACATGTTCATCTTTTACTTTGAGAGTAAAATTCTGCCTTGGTTGAGGAGATACTAGATAGTTAGGCAAAATGTTGAACATCTTTAATTACAGCACTTAGGAGACAAAGTAGGAGGATCACTGTGAGTTTGTGGGCAACCTGGGTTACATAGAATTTCTAGAACAGCCATGGTTACATACATTTTGAAAAAAAAAGGAATAGAAAAAAAGGATGTATAGTCATGATATTTACACCAACAATTTCATCACTTGAGAGACTTAGGCAGAAGGATCTATTTTCAAAGCCAAACTTGACATCAGACTCAAAAAATCAGAGGGAAGAAAATATTTACTGTTTTTAATGTGTTTGAGGTCTCCTGAAGTTGGTTTTAAAGCCATGCTGTGGAGTATGGTAGGGGGTCTAGAGGTTAGGTCAGATTTATTGAACAGAAATGATTTCCTGCTTGTGTTAGGGGTAAGAGTTGTTTTTCAGAAGGCATGTTGTGAAAACATGCTGTACACATGGTAAGTGTATAATTACTAATTAAACTTTGATGTATATGTATGGCTTTTAGTTATAGCAGGATACAAATAAGATAGTATTTATTATTGTAGTGTTTCAATGGCATGGAAATACAATTACAATGTTTAACAATCAGCATTCTATTTACTCAAAATGTTATCAACTAAGTATAGTTGTAATCTCAGCCCTTGGAAAGCATAGGCAGAATTGAGTTTAGTGCCAGTCTAGGTTAAATAGTACAATGTTAGCCCATCTCAAAACAACTGAAGTTATCATCACTGATAGGACCTCTATACTCATTAAAATTCTACTTCCCTTTATCCCTACTTTCAACTCCTGATAATCAAAATTACAGTTTGACATGTCTATTTGAAGTAGCTGTATGCATGGAATCATACAGACTCATTCTGTACCTGCTTTAGTAGTGAGATGTGTCCACTTATACTGTAAATTCTTTAGTTTTGTCCCTGAATACTTCCTTGTGTGTATATAACAACTGAAATTAATTCATTCCACTACTGATGGTCATAAGCTATTTCCAGTGCTGGTGAATTATGCTCTAGAGTACACATATCTATTTGAGTCACCCCTCCCCCCAAAAATTAAAAATAAAAATAGGCAAAAGACCAATAAGAATTGGGAAAAATGCCCCAAAACAAAAATAGAGAATCCACAAAATACCATTGAGTTTGTTCTGTGTCGGCCAGCTACTCTTGGGCATGGGGCATGTCCCGGTGTGTCACTCCACTGAAGAAAACTGATTTCCCATTTCCCATTTGGTATCAACTTCAAACAGCTCCTTGGTTACTGTGTCCACTTACGCTTCTCAGTGTTGGGATGCCATCTGACTTGAACCTGTGCAAGCAAGTCTTGTGTGTGTTCAGAGTTTCTCTGAATTGATATTTGTATCAGTCCGGTTGTGTCTGAAGACACTGTTTCCTTAGAGTCACCCAATTACCTATAATTTTCTTTTTGTCTTTGAGACAGTCTGTCCTCCCTGTGATGATTTAGTGTTGAGGCTCTCAAAAGATTTTATATTTTTAATTTTCAGTATTTCAGTTAGTGTCTCTTCAATATTTCTATCTCCTTATTAAATTCCATTTTATATATAGTGTGCCAATCTTATTTCAGTTAAAATTTCTCTTGAGCTTATATTTTTCAAAAGTATTTGAGTTATTTGAGCATACAGTTCTTTATTTTCATTGGGTATCATTATTGGAAAATTCATAATTCTTAGAGATTTATCTTTTCATAGAAATTGTTTTTATATTGGGATTTCTAGACCTAGACTTAGGTCTTTGGTTAAATTTTTTATGTCAACTCCTCCCCCACCCCCACCCCCAATCTGAGTATGTATGCTATTCATAGGCATTCTGTTGTTTTCATTGAGGTGACAGGACTCAAGCATCATGTTCATGATACATTCACCGGGGACTAATGAAGCCAGAGACTTCTAGCCACCCAATACTCACTAAGATAGGTTGGTCTGGATACTCCTTTGTATACTATGCTCATCAGGGTAACTAGTAAAGCTAGTGTCTTCTGAGAAGGCTGTGTTCATTGAGGTGACTAGCAGGGCTAGAGCTTCCTAGACATAAAGCCTCTGCCCAAGAAGCCAAGGGATAGATCCTCCTGGGCAATTTATGCTTACCAGGATCACAAGCTAAGTTGTAGACTTCCAGTGTGAACTGTACTCAAAGAGGTGAACAGTGAGACTGAAGTCTCCTGGGCATATAGCCCTCACCTGGATGATGGATGGGTTTGGAGGTTTCAGATATAACATACAAAGTACACGGGACTGGAGTTTTCCAGGTGTCCTGTGTTTCCTGAGGTGATGCATTGGGCAAAACCAACTCAGGAATGCTTTAGTCAGCAAGATAGCAAATGAATGGAGCTTCTTAGATGTGCTGTGTACAATGAGGCAGTTAGTAGGATGCTCATGAAGCATGCTTTACTTGCTTGAGCTGGAGTTTCCCATGCATATACAGAGGATAGGATGGAATTCCTAGGTATGCTGTGCTTCTTGGGATAATGTAAGGTTGGAAATTCTCACTGATACAACCCATATCTGGGTAATGAGAAAGGTTGAAGTCTCCCAGGTACAAAACTGGGGCTGGAGCTTCCTGGCAGCCCTCAAATAGGCAATGAACAAGCTTGACTCTCCAAAGTGTGCAACTGTCACATGGGTAACAAAGACTGTATTCGACCATAAGTACTATGTTTAGTAAACTGAATGGTAGGAATTGAGATTCCCAGGTACAACGTGCTCATTATGGAAATGGAACTAGCTGGAGCATTCTAATCAAGCTGTGTGCAGTAAGGTAATGAGATTAAAGTCTCCAGGGCATATAGTCCTTCTGGGGCAATGGGTAGAGTTGATGTCTCCCTGCCATACTGTGCTCACTTTACATTCAAGTTTCTCACCCACTTGTGTTCTCCGATTTCAAGTAAAGACTGACTACCTACAGTAAAGTTATTTTGTTTCCCATCTATGAATTCTCTGATGCTTAGTGAAACGTGAATTTTGATAGAAAGATTCCCACATTCTTTAATATAATTTTTTATGTGTGTGACTTCTAGAATGTTAAGTTTGAAAGCATGAGAAAGTTTCCAACATGCTTGAAAAAAATTTATATGTGCAAATGTTTGGCCAATATATATGTATGCACACTACACAGGTACTCTGCACATGGAGGCTTTTGGACTAGATTTACACTTGTGAGCCATGTTAAAACTGGGAATCCAAATGAGGTCCTCTCGAAGAGTAGTCAGTGCACTTATCGGCTGAGCTAGCTCTCTAATCCCATTCTTACATGTTTAAACATTCATATGGTATGCTATTTACTTTTTTGTGACATTTATAAAATATCCTGACACAGAAAATTAAGGATAGATTTATTTTGGCTCAAAGTTCAAAGGTAGAATACATTTGGAGTAGGGCTACAAACATTTAAAATCAGTCTTTCCATGCCAATTAACTTAACATTTCTGCCAGATATTCTCAGATGTCCATGTGATTCCAGATCCTGTCAAGTTGATGATATTAACAACCATAACTGAACTTACTCCTTGCCAACGTGACATGATTATTACTGTTGAGCCATAACTTTTCTTCTCTTGTCCCCATAAGCTGACTTTTCATAATGTAAAGTGGGTCAGTTACAACCCTAAAAATTCTTAGTCTTCAAGAATTCCAACAATGTTTTAATATCCAAAGTCCAAATTTCATCTTAAATATTCTGTGAGGCCCCTTAATATCAAAAAGCAAGTTACATGGTTCCAATACATAAAAGCATAAACATTCCCATTCCCAAAAGAAAAAACTAGGGTTGAAACCCAGCAGGGAAAACAATATATCTTACTGCAACATGTCCACTGCATCTGAGACTTGTAATAGAATCACCTGGAATCTAAAGTACTCAAGAAGCCCCATCCTATCTATCTCTGCTGGCCAACTGGCCCCACTCCATGCCTGTAGCTTTCCTTGGTGGATGACCCCATGCTCCTGGCATCATTTATATACTGGAGTCTCCATGGCAAATTATAGTTTACCTTCACAGGTCCATACAGTGGACATTCAGAGCCTTCCTTTAGAGACTTCAGTTCTGACATACAATGTCTAGCCTCAGCTGCTTTCTGAAACTTTGGAACAAATCTACCTGATCCCCTCAGTGTTGCATCTTTTATGCCCATGAAACTAGTATCACATCCAGAAAGCTTCCAAGAGCTGTTGTTAGTTAGAAATATAAAATGTCTTCTTGGATCAAAGCTATCACCTAGTGTGCTGACCCTACAGAAACACTTCCACTTGGGAGTTGTCTTCAGGGAGCAGGAAATCCCTTCAGCTGTATTCTCAGTCCAGGTTCTTTTCTTTCAAGTAAGTCCACATTTTTCATAAGCTGAAGCCTTTGATAGGGGAAGTAGGGCAATCCAGACACATTTCCTACTGTCCTGGGGGCAGAGCAGAGTGTTTCTCTTTTAACAATTAGAGCTGCTTCTTCCATACCTGCCTTGCCTGAAGCTGTTGCCTTGCTTTAGCTTCCTAATCCTTGATAGACTGTAAGTTTTAATCATTTTTTTTTAATTTATCTTCTGCACAATGGAACTTTTTCATTGTAAACTTTTATAAGTGAAGTTACCAGGAGCTGTACCACAGCCTGAATATACACCTTTGTGGAAATTTTCTTCACCTAACAAATGAGTAAGTTTTCTTTAAATGTATCATTATTCAAGTTCTCAGATCACAGGTAGAATGAAGCCAAATTCTTGGCAAAGGATCACAGAAATGGCCTCTAGCCCAGTTCTTGACAATGCTTGTTCCCCTCTGAAGCCTTGTGAGCCAGGCTTCCATACTCTGTACTTATAAACTTCCACCACAGTGGCCCATTAAGCTCTGTAGCATAGCAGTCAAAGATCTTATTAGCCCAAAGTTCCAAATCTACATTCCTCATGAAAGCCATTGCTAGAGGCCTAAGAATCATACAGTCAAGTTTATCAGGGCAGTGGCCTCACTTCTCAGAACCAATTTCCTGTATTAGTTACTTTCTTCTGTGGCTCACAGTACTTCACCCATGATGTACAATCCTAATCTTGCATGGTAGAGAATTTCTTGTGGCAAGAGCTTGAGGCATTTTGCCAAGTGGCATCCAGACAGGAAGCAGAAAACAGCAAATGCTTATACTTAATCTACCTTCCTTGTTCTCATGTGGTTCAGAACTCCAATCTACAGAATGGTGCCACCCCTTTTCATGCAGTACATAATCCCAACACAAGGAGTGGTGCCACACATATTTATAGTAGGTCTTCCCATTTTAATTAACCAAATAGAGATAATCACAGACATCACCAAAGGTAACTTAATCTAGATAATCTTTCACAGGCCTGTCTCCCAGATGATTCCAGATCTTGTCAAGTTGACAATCAATATTAAACATTACATAGGGTTTTTCATTTGTATGAGTTCGTTGATGTTCAGTAAGCTCTGATTTAGAATAGAATGTTTTCCTACATTCTTTACATTCATAAGATTTTTCATGTGTGTGAGTTCTCCGATGTTGATTGAGGTTTGACTTACAATAGAAAGTTTTGCTACAGTCTTTACACTCATAGGGTTTTTCACCTGTATGTGTTCTCTGATGTCGAGTGAGGTCTGACTTTTGGAAGAAAGTTTTCCTACATTCTTCACATTCATATGGCTTCTCACCTGAATGGATTTTTTGATGTTTAACAAGGCTTGACTTACAATAGAAAGCCTTACTACAGTCTTTACATGCAAAAGGCTTTTCACCTGTATGAGTTCTTTGATGTTGATTGAGGTTTGACTTACAATAGAAAGCTTTGTTGCAGTCTTTACATTCATAGGGTTTCTCTCCGGTGTGAGTTCTTTGATGTTGATTGAGGTTTGACTTACAGTAGAAATTTTTTCTACATTCTTTACATTCATAGAATCTCTCCACTGTATGAGTCCGCTGATGATTTGTAAGTTCCGACCTACAGTAGAAGGATTTCCAACATTCGCTACATTCATAGGGCTTCTCTCTGGTATGAGTTCTTCTCTGATGCTCAGTGAGGTTGGACTTAGAATTGAAACTTTTCTTACATTCATTACATTCATAGGGCTTCTCGCCTGTATGAATCCTATGATGCTGATTGAGGCTTGACTTGGAGCAGAAAGTTTTTCTACATTCTTTACATTCATAGGGATTATCATCTGTATGTGTTTTCTGATGATTGGCGAGGTCTGATTTATAGTAGAATGTTTTAGAGCATTCATTACATTCAAAAGGCTTTTCCCCACTGTGAGTTGTTTGATGTCGAGTAAGATCTGACTTACAGTAAAATGTTTTAGTACATTCTGTACATTCATAGGGCTTCTCTCTACTATGCGTTCTACTCTGATGTCGAATGAGGTATGATTTACAGTAGAAAGTCTTACTGCACTCTACACATTCATAGGGTTTTTCTCTACTGTGAGTTCTTCTCTGATGTCGAGTAACATCTGACTTACAGTAGAAAGTTTTCCCACATTCTATACATTCATACGGCTTCTCTCTGCTATGTGTTCTTCTCTGATGTCGAATAAGGTTTGCCTTCCGATGGAAAGACTTCCTGCATTCTTCACACTCATAGCGTCTCTCACCTGCATGAAATGTCTCATGTACACTGACTTGGGACTTCCAGGGGAAAATTTCCCAGCACTGTGGAGAGTCATATAGTTTCTCACCTATATGAAATCTTTGATGTTGAGTGAGGGTTGATTGATAATAGAAAGCTTTTCTACATTCCTCCCATCCATAGGGGTTCTCATATGACTGAGATATCTGATTCTTGGTGTGCTCTGAATTCGGATAAAATGTTTCCATACATTCTTTATATTCATATGTTTTTGCCCCTCGATAAATTTTCTCTTGAATCTGTAGTTCTGCCTTGAGAGAGAAGATTTTGTTACATTCTTTATAATGCATGAGACTATTAACCAATATCAACAATAGCTGCTTCCCAATATTTTGAAGGTCTAATTTCTTAATAAAAAATTTCTCACAACTCCTACATATGGAGTACTTCTCTTTGTTTATTTTGTAATCTTTATTGAGTTTAGTCTTGCCACCAAATGTTTTCCCATATATACTGGACTCAAAACTCTCCTTTTTTACTTAAGCCGTGTCTTAGGCAGTAAATGCTACATTATCCAAAAGATTTCCATATTCACCAAACTTCAATTAGAGGTCTTCCACATATGAAACTTCATATGTATCAATAAAATTAGATTTTAAAGGAAGAGAATCAATGACCCCAAAATAGTAAGAATGCACAGCAAAGTTTGGTTTTGACAATGGAGTGTAAGACACTCCACAAGTCTCAATTACATCTTCAGGTTTTTCTCCAGGCTGCATCTTATTAGGCTTATTACAAAGAGTTTGTTTAGTATGCAGTGGATTAAGTCCCGGAGTAAGTAGAACATTCTTTAATGTTCAGATCTTAAATGTGGCATAGCATATACAAAATTTTACCTACTTCAACCATCTGTTCATATGATGTAATGCCACTGGTGACTTCAGCTTGCCACAAGTGTGTCTCTTGATTTCCCAGGACACTTACATTATGAACATCTAAAATGATATTAAAAAAACAAACAAAGAAACAAACAACAATGTCTATGAGTTATATAAACTATTTTTAGGTAATTTAAATATATAGGTAATATCTTTGTTATTGTTAAGGTATTAAGTTTTAAAATATTCACTTATGAGATACACACACACACATATAGGTTAATATATGTGAACATTTTAAAACATGTATATGTATAAGTGTACATATACATCGTAAGTGAAAAAGAACATTTAGTAGTCTTCAATGAGTTAATTCAACAATAATGTAACAATAGGCATTGCGGGGTGTAAATAATTTCCTTTGAGCCTTTGCTATGTTTGGTTCAAAGAAGTAGGGTAAAGAAAGTATCCATCTTAGCTGCAGATTTCCACACATCAATTTTGACCCATTTCTTTAATAAATCATTTATACTTGTACTTGTAGTGCTATTCTACACTGAACCTCCTTGGCATGTGAACTAATGGCTGCTGTACCAGCTTTTTTTTTTTTTTAAGGATGCAAGCATAGTTAAACTCTCTCTTATAAGCAAGAATAAAGATTATAGAAGGGATGGCTATGCATGTATAATTCAATTTATTTACTTTGTTCTGAGACACAGTTAAATATTTACTTATGAAATTTTTTCTGAAAAAAAAAATGAAGCAGCTTTCTTCAAATTCTTCATTAGGTCTATCTTAGGGTTTGTGCATAGCTTTCATTTTTCTGGATTTCCATGGGCTTCCTAAAACTATGATGTTTTTTTCACTTGCATCAACTTCTTGAGGACTATTTTAAAATAGCTATGTTTTTTCCTAGAGCAACAACACTAGCAATATAGTAAAAATATGTTAGGAGAAGAAAAGTAAACAAATAATCAGAGAAGCATTTTATCTTTGTACTCTACTATTGGGCTAGTTAGGACAAAAGTTAAATTTAATGCTTTTCTTTATTCTCATCTCACCCTCAGTGCTATATGCTGGCTGAGAGCTAAAATGGTCAATATTTTGTGAGTAACAGGACTGTATCCAGTTAGGAAACCTCACTGCTTGCATAAAAGAAGCCACTTCTGACATCAAAAAGCTCTAATTTATGGAGCAAGCAAGATCGTTTCCAAAGGCCCCTTTTTTGTGTGCAATAAGGGAAGTCTAAGCCAAAGAGTATTGCATTATGGAAGACCAGAGGAAACTGGGACATGAGTGGTCCTGATGCTTTCAGAACCATACTGAAAATCCAGATCTGTTGGACCATATATAATCAGGACAGTTCAAGCATATGTTGCTGGAAGGAGGGTCTGGAGGCCAAAGAGTTCATGAGAGGCTCAGTTTCCTATTCTGTAAACTACAATCAATGCCTGGGGCTCACTTCTCACATATAATGAAGCCATTAAATCTTTCATATTCCTGTTCCCTGTTGCTTAAGATTCTCAGTGATCTGGCATCTGAACCTGCAGTTTCCATAATGTACTCACTCGGCCATGTCTCAGTATCAGTGTGTCCTTGGTCTTCTTTTTTGTGACTACACTTTATTTTCAGGACTCTAGACTAGAAGGCACATCAAGATACTGGGCAAATGCAATCAATTTTCTTCTCCAAGCCTAGCTTGCCAAGCAAAATCAGTATCAGACATACTAGAACACTGTATTTGATACTTTAAGGAAGAGAGGTATGTCCTTTGGCACAGCCATATCTAATGGTAACAGTTAAAAGTTAACGATGAAAGCTCAGCTGCTTGACAAAGATCCAGCAAAGCTGAGCTGAATGATACAATCACCATCATTCAGCCTTCCACTTTTAGTTGATATTCTGTTGGCAAAAGAGCTCTTTGTACTTACCTAACAGTAGGGTTTATCTTACAATTATAGCTTTGGGAGCTCAGGTTATGAACTTCTTCCTACTTCCTTTCTGCTTTGTAACTGCCCTGATACATTTTCCTCAGCACATTTCAGTTTCTCTTCCTTGAATATAGTCTATCCTTTTTCCTGGTTTGTGTTCTCCCTACCCCTACAACACCATGGAGAAACCTTTCTAATCTGCTACCTTATCCTGAAAACTCAGATGTTCCTGTTTCATTCTTGTAGAAATTCCAAAGGCAAATGCACTAATAACTACATTCAAGTAGTTTAATCCCCAGTACTCTCATACTGGTCAAAAGCCCATGGGTGGAGAGGGCAAGGGCCCTTGGGTAGAAGCTGCTGTTGTTATTGTACCAACTGGTCACATAATCAAACTGCCTTCTAAATATTTCTGTTTAGGCCACAGAACTGGGATGCTCTCAACTTTGACCAGAAAAGCTTCTTTCTGAGTAGACAGCAGTTAGCAGAGAGACAGATAACTGGTCACGGGGCTGAGAACAAGAGCCTGAGAGTACATCTGCAAATAGTAAATCTCTATTAACTGCAGCCAAGACTCAAAGAACATCTCAGAAAAGGAAGCAGAAAGACCATAAAAGTCATAGGATGAATAGGAGTGTGCTGATGCTATCTTTTAAATATGCCATGGCCATCCCACAGCAACTGTGTTCACTTGGATGGGACAAGCACAATGCCAAGCAAGGGAAAAACAAGCATACATGAGATAGACGGGCTGCAGGTACCGTCCCTTACTGAGAAGCTATTGACAGTGGATAGTCACTGCGGAGAAAGCACCATTCTTTGTTTGAGAAAGTGGCCTGGTAGGTTTTTAATGCTGAAATGGATGGCCCCACACCCACACTTATATTTGTAGCACTAACTGGACTTTGTGGGTTATCAAAAAAAATTAAGAAAGAAAGAAAATATAATATGAAGTTGGTAGGGGAAGGACTGTTGAGTGATCACAAGGAGACTTGAAGGAGAAAATGCAGCAGATCATTGAATATGATGCATATTCAAAGTTCTCAAGTTCTCAAGAATAAAAAGAAATTTAAAAACAAGCTGTTTTTGGATGTTTTCATATTTGTATTCTAGTCATGATTACCATCAAGTACTTAATTTATATTAAATAATGTATCATCTGAAATTTTTTGAAAACTGTCATCTTTGATCAAAGGAACAGATAGACTAACTACAGATCTTAACTTGTCCCTCAAATCCTTCAAATCCAAACCTCGAGTCTTGTCCCCAGCTCTTCAGCAGATCACCAGCTGCTGCTGCTTTGTACCCCTGCCCCCATTTGCAGTGGATCACACACACCTTCTCCTCCTAATCTCCCTCCCCCAACTCATTGCTTTATCCTAGCCCTCAACTCCAGCAGACACTACCTGGGAACCCACAGACCATGGACCAGAAAAGCAAGTAGGCTAAATGAAGATTTTCACTTCTTCCCAGATTCCTCCAGGTCCAATCCCCCAGGTTCATCCCTGGCTCTATAGTAGACTTTTGATGTGACCTCTTCTTAATCTCTGCCCACATTCCCAGAGGACTAAGCCAATCCTGGTGTGATATCCTGCTTTTCTCCCTCTTGTGTATCCCACTTTCTCTTCCAAGCCCATCTCCATTCCTAAGTTTCAGCTCCCAATACCTAGAAACACATTTTCCATAAAACCCAGATGGCCATCAGGATCCCAGCAGAATTTCCTACCAGGCAACACACAACCAACACACTCTCCTACAACCCTGAAAAGCAAACAGAAGCCAAGAAACAAAACACCTACCCAAGAAAGACAAGACCAGATATCAGCAATTAGAATAACAATCTTCCAAATATCAGATACCATATGTCTACAGGACAGAGTAAACACACAATCAATAACAACCAGGACAATGTCTCCACTACAGCCCAGCAAGCTTACTCAGGCAGGTCCTGAGTATTCCAACATAGCTGAAGAACAAGAAAACAACCTTAAAATAGACTTTGTAAATATAATAGAGGTCCTTAAAGTGTATATTTACAAATCTATTTTTAAAATCCATGAAAACACACACATAAAAAAAAAAGTAGAAGGAGATAAAACTATTTAAAACTTGAAAGTGGAAACAGAATCAATAGAAGAAATCAAAACTGAAGGAACTCTGGAAATTAAAAATTTAGGCTCTTGAACAGGAATCTTGGAGTCAAGCCTCACTACCAGAATGTAAAAGATAGAAGAGAAAATTTCAGGCATTGAATAAATGACAGATGGAATGAATATGCGAGTCAAAGAAAGTTTCAAATCTATAAAAAACAAAACAATACAAAAACATCAATAAAAATTTCAGGGACAAAACATCTAGGCAATTTTGGGGCACTATGAATAAGGTCACATTTAAGAATAACTGGAATAGAGGAAGAAGAAGAAGAATTACACCAGACTTTTCCATGGAGACAGTAAAAGCCATTAAGGGCCTGGGCAGATGTGTTACAGACTTCAAGAGACCACAGATGCCGGCACAGATTACTATACCCAGCAAAACTTTCAGTCACCATAGATGGAGAAAATAAAACATTCTATGATAAAACCAAATTAAAACAATATCTATCAACAAATCCAGCCTTATAAAAGGTGCTAGTAGAAACTACTACTACTACTACTAATGTAACAGGAATCCACAATTACTGCTCACTGATAACTTTCAACATCAATATGAAGACTAAGATAATGTATTTGAAAACAAGTTCCATCTGTCTGCAACATCCAAGAAAACACACTTTAATATCAAGGATAAACATCACCTCAGGATAAAAAGGGTTTGAAAAAGGTATTTCAAGCAAATGGACCTAAGAAGCAATCTAGTGTAACCATTTTAATAAACTTCTAACCATAACTAACAAGCAGAAATCGAGAAGGATACTACATAAACATCAAAGGAACAATCCACTAAAAGGACAACATTTCAGTTCTTAACAACTCTACACCAAAGACAAGGGCACCCATATTCATAAAGGAAATACCATTACAGCTTAAACCAAACACATACACACACACACACACACACACACACACACACACACACACACACACACTCCTTTCTCTTAGAACCTCAGAGAACTTTCTAGAAACTTGGCCAAATAGTCTGACACAAAGTCTCAACAGATAATAGAAAACTGAAATAACACCCTGT